CCGTGGTAGAGCGCTTGCCTTGCATGCATGAGGCCCTGGGTTCAATTCCTCAGCACCACATAAGCAAGAAAAAAAAAAAGCTAGACGTGTCGCTGTGGCTCAAGTTGTAGAACGTTAACCTTGAGCTGAAGAGCTGAGGGACAGCGCCCAGGCCCAGAGTTCAGGCCCCACAACTGGACCCCCCCCAAAAAAAAATTTGGTATCTTTTTTTTTTTTTATTTTTGGGTCCAGTTGTGGGGCCTGAACTCTGGGCCTGGGCGCTGTCCCTCAGCTCTTCAGCTCAAGGTTAACGCTCTACAACTTGAGCCACAGCGACACGTCTAGCTTTTTTTTTTCCTGCTTATGTGGTGCTGAGGAATCGAACCCAGGGCCTTGAGCATGCAAGGCAAGCGCTCTACCACTGAGCCACCTTCCCAGCCCAAAAATTTGGTATCTAATACAAGCAATTTTACACAATCATTAGAAAGAATGTTATATCATTTGCAGGGAAATGAATGGAACTAGAACAAACCATTTTCAGTGAGGTAAGCCAAGCTCAGAGAGACAAACAGCACATGTTTTCTCTGATATGCAGAAGTTCAATCTAAAGTACGTTGGAAGCCAGGTGCCAGTGGCTCATGCCTGTAATCCTTGTTACCCAGGAGGCTGAGATCTTCATTTTTGAAGCCAGTCCAGGCAGAAAACTCCCCATGAGACCCTTATCTCCAATTAAGCACTCAAAAACAGAAGTGGTTCTATGGCTCAAGTGGTAGAGCACTAGCCTTGAGCACAAAGAAGCTAAGGGGCTAAGGGATGGGCTCAGGCCCTGAGTTTAAGCCCCACAAATGACCAAAAGAAAAAAGAAAAAAAAATACAGCCAGGTGCCTGTGGCTCACAATTCTAGGTACTCAGGAGACTGAAATCTGAGGATCGCAGTTCAAAGCAAGTCCAGACAGGAAAGTCCATGAGACTCTTATCTCCAATTAACCACCAGAAAACTGAAAATGACACTGTGGCTCAAATGGTAAAGCACTAGCCTTGAACTAAAGAGCAGAGGGACAGTGCCCAAGCCCAGAGTTCAAGCCCCACAACTGACAACAACAACAACAACAAACTAATTGGATATCAGTTTTAGTTTTTGCCACGAAATCATCATACAATGTTGGAAGGATTCAGAAAAGAATTAAATCACCTGAGTTTTAACTTGATTAGAGAAAAGAAATGATGAATTAAATATGTGGGACTGAATACATGATTTTTATTCCCACTCATCCCTGAGTCTACAAAAATAATCTGTAGGCCAGGTGCTGGTGGCTCATACCTATAATCCTAGCTACTCAGGAGGCTGAGCTGTGAGGACTTCAGTTCAATTCAAAGCCACCCCAGGCAGAAGACCATGGGATTCTTATTTCCAATTAAAATGCTGTAAGTAGAGGCAGTACAGGCATGACTCAAGTGGTAGAGTGCCAGCCTTAAAAAAAAAAAAAAGCCAAGCAGGAGCATGAGACCCTGAGTTCAAGCCCAGTACTGGTACAAAATAAAATAATTATATAAAAAAATTTAAAATAGGGCTGGCTCAGTGGTAGAATGCTTGCCTTGCATGCATGAAGCCCTGGGTTCGAGTCCTCAGCACCACATAAGCAGAAAAAGCCAAAAAGGGCGCTGTGGCTCAAGTGGTAGAACATAGCCTTGAGCTAAAGAGCTGAGGGACAGCGCCCAGGCCCAGAGTTCAAGCCCCATGACCGGAAATAAAATAAAATAACTGAAGTGTATTAGGTTACAGAAACCAAGAAAAGTGACAACATGGATAAGATACATCAACACTGTTTGGGGAGATGAAAAGTGGGTGGATAAGTGGGGTTCACTTCTCAGATGAGAGAAAGTTGAATTCACGTACTGCAATAGAGGACAGAGGGCTAAAAAAAGAAAAAAAAACTGATATTTTGCAGCAGCACACTGGAAAAGTCCACAAAGCAGAAGTTGAAGTATTGTTGTTGTTGGGCAACAAATGACCTCAAGAACTGAATAGGTTAAAGAATGAAATCAGTTTTAATCTGTCCTGCTTCCTGTGGGACAGAAACATACACAGGACCTTGTTTAGTCACTGTTTCACAGTATCTGGAGCTCAACCAAAAGTCTCAAAGATGGGGGCTAGAGTAATTTGGTATATTCATTCACACTCATTTATTTGTGAGTCTGGTAGTTAATGTTTCTGTAGGCTAGAACTTTAAGGGAGTGAGGGGAACTACAACACATTCAGGGAAAGACCTAGGCTTCCTCACAGCTGACTTCCTTTGGCAAACATCTCAAGAGAAAAACTGTCAGAATGAGCTTTCTATAACCTACCTTGGGAGTTACATTCTGTTACTATGTTCTTTTGATTATGACTACAAAGTTCCAAACAAACTCAAAAGGAGGAACATGGATGTTTACCTTAATGGAGGAGTGTGAAAATAGTTTGTAAGAAGTGTTTCCAAGGTAAGATATACATAACTGTGGCCATTTTGTAAACCAAAATTTCCTTCAGGGTAAAAGATTGCCACATAAGGAAGGACCAGTTAACACCCTAAGGCCTCTTCTCTGCCTAGTCTCACCATCAACTCCTTCTACCCAGTTTCAGGAATGGAGAATCTAATCCAGAAACTTCACTAAGGGATGACAGACAGAGAAGGTGAAGCCTTACCAGAAGCTAAGAACTGAGCTAGTGTCAGCTGAGTCAATATACCCAATGAGGAGATTTCTAGTGTCTTCCTTCTTGGCTCTAAGGATGCTAACTGGCAGATCTATGACTATGCAACCAGACAATTAGAGGACTCCTTTCTGGAGAAACTATCAGCATAAGACATAAGACATACAAATATAAACATTTAGTTCTCCAATGAAACAACAGTTCCTGGCCAATCCCACCAAAGGGACTCCCACCAGTGAGCCACCACCCCACAGAGTGGGGTGCTCAGAGGTCAAGCAGCAATATTTTTTTGGGGGGGGGGAGGGTCTTGGACTCAGGGCCTGAGCACTGTCCCTTAGCTTGTCCTTTCCTTTGAGTGAGAAACTCAAGGATAACACTATACCACTTGAGCCACAGCTCTACTTCAGGCTTTTTGTTGGTGGTGGTGGCAGTTGCCTGGCTTGAATTCAGAGCCTGGGTACTGTCCCTGAGCCTCTTTGTGCTCAAGGCTAGCACTCTACCACTTGAACCACAGCGCCACTTCCAGTTTTTGAGTGGTAACTGGAGATAAGAGTCTCACTGGGGCTTTTCTGCCCAGGATGGCTTCAAACCATGATCCTCAGATCTCAGCTTCCTGAGTAGCTAGGATTACAGGCGTGAGCCACCAGTGCCTCGCTTACTTCAGGCTCCCTGTTTGTTTGTTTGTTTTTTTAAACCAGAACATTTATTTTATGGCTAATCTTTTAAAGTCTTGCTTATGTGGTGCCAAGGAATCAAACCCAGGGCCTCATGCATGCAAGGCAAGCACTCTACCACTGAGCCATCTTCCCAGCCCTGGCTTTTTGATAATTAATTGGGGATAAGAGCTCACCAATGTTCTTGCCCTAGCTGGTTTTAAACTTGTGATCCCATTAGAGCCCAGCTGCCTACCTTTTAAAGAAAAAATAAAAAGGATTATTCCTTTTTTTTTTGTTTTTTTGGTCGGCCGTGGGGCTTGAACTCTGGGTCTGGGCACTGTCCTTCAGCTCTTCAGCTCAAGGCGAGCGCTCTACCACTTGAGCTACAGCGCCACTTCCGGTTTTCTGGTGGTTTATTGGAGATAGGAATCTCACGGTCTCTCCTACCCGGGCTGGCTTTGAACCGTGATCCTCAGATCTCAGCCTCCTGAGTAGCTAGGATTACAGGCGTGAGCCACCAGCGCCCGGCTTAAAAAGGACTATTCTTTAAGATCAGTTTCAGGCTGGGAATATGGCTTAGTGGTAGAGTGCTTGCGTAGCATGCATGAAGCCACGGGTTCCATTCCTCAGTACCACATACACAGAAAAAGCCAGAAGTCGGGCTGGGAAGGTGGCTCAGTGGTAGAGTGCTTGCCTTGCATGCCTGAGGCCCTGGGTTCAATTCCTCAGCACCACATAAGCAAAAAGAAAAAAGCCGGAAGTGGTGCTGTGGCTCAAGTGGTAGAGCGCTAGCCTTGAGCTGAAGAGCTGAAGGACAGCGCCCAAGCCCAGAGTTCAGGCCCCATGACCAGACCCCCCCCCCCCAAAAAAAAGAAAAAGAAAAAGCCAGAAGTGACACTGGGGCTCAAGTGGTAGAGTGCTAACCTTGAACAAAAGAAGCTCAGGGACAGTACCCAGGCCCTGAGTTCAAGCCCTAGGACTGGCAGAAAAAAAAGCCAAGAAAAAAAAAGATCAGTTTCCAGTCTACCAGGTAATTGAGAGGGAGGTACAGAAATATCCATAAATCTAAGATTTGAGGGGCTAGGAAGGTGGCTCAGTGGTAGAGTGTTTGCCTTGCATGCATGAGGTCCTGGGTTCAATTCCTCAACCCACATAAGCAGAAAAAGCCAGAAGTGGTCCTATGGCTCAAGTGGACAGTGCCCAGGCCCAGAGTTCAGGCCCCACTACTGACAAATTTTTTTTTAATCTAAGATTTGAGGGTGACCTTATTGTACGTGACATTTGCCAGGGTTAATTGTGCTTCTCTGGCTTCTCTTCTTCCCCACTTTTTCATGTGGGTTCACACTCAGTCAAAGAGGAAAATTTTCTCCAGAGGAGGACAACCTTCCCCAATGGGAAGATCATTCTTCTGTCAAGGGTATGCTGATAGCTGCTCATCTCTGCTTATGGACTTCCCAAGGTCTATAAACTTCCAGTCATGATATAACCATAGGCTCCCTGGTTATCAACCGTCTCCTTTAAAGTGATGTACATTTGTTGCAGGTGCTGAAAGTGCATTGAAAGGTGCTGCAGAATCCAGGCCTGAAGCATCAAGGGTGGTAAATAATAAGAGCTCTTCAAATCTGCAATTAAAACTACAGCTTCCAAGAAAATCACATTGCAAAAATAAAAAAAAAATGGAAAAGAAATGGAATAGAAAGAGTGAAAAAGTTGAAGAGGTCTTAGTTGAAGAACTTGAAGAATATGAGGTGAAAAAAGTACTGGATCGACAGGTAGTGAATGGGAAGGTGAAATATTTGCTGAAGTGGAAAGGATACTCAGATGCTGACAATTCGTGGGAACCTGAAGAAAACTTACATTGTCCAAAATTAGTGAAAGCATTTTTTAATTCTCAAAAAGCTGGTGAAGGAAAGAATGGTACGAAAAGGAAATTTATATCAGAAAGTAAATCTGATGCTAGGAAATCCAAGAAGAAAAAAGATGCAAAGGGTTTTGCTCGGGGCCTGATGGCTGAACAAATACTTGGTGCCACCAACATTTTTGGAGAGTTGATGTTTGTCATAAAATGGAAAGATTCAAATAAGAATGACTTGGTGCTGGCAAAAGAGGCACATGCGAAGTGTCCTCAAGTTGTAATTGCTTTTTATGAAAAGAATCTAACTTGGATTTAGATAATAAAGCATTATTTTTGAAATATATACTTATGTATACATATAAAATATGAGTCTTGGGTTTTGAATTACTAGTGTGAACAAGAATTACATTGTAGGGGCTGGGAAGGTGGCTCAGTGATAGAGCGCTTACCTTGTATGTATGAGGCCCTGGGTTCGATTCCTTAGCACCACATAAGGAGAAAAAGCCGGAAGTGGCGCTGTGGCTAAAGTGGTAGTGCGCTATAGCGCGTTGAGCTGAAGAGCTGAGGGACAGTGCCCAGGTCCAGAATTCAGGCCACTGGACTGACAAAAAAAAGATTTACATTCTAGCCAGGCACTGATGGCTCACACCTGTAATTCTAGCTACCCAGGAGGCTAAGATCTGAGGACCCCAGTTCAAAGCCAGCCTGGACAGGAAAGTCCATGAGACTTATCTCCAACTAACCACCAGAAAACAGGTAGTGGTGCAGTGGCTCAAAGTGGTAGTGCAGTAACCTTTAGCTGAAGAGCTCAGGGACAGGGCTTAGGCCCAGAGTTCAAGCCCTACAACTGACAAAAAAAAAAAAAAAAAAGAAGAAGAAGAAGAAGAAAGAAAAAAAAAGAATTACATTCTAATGAAAATTAAGTTTGATATTCTGGCTACTTAGAACAAATAAAACTAATAATTGCTTCCTTTATCAAAAAAGAACGTTTGATACCATGGCATATTTCCTCTGTGTTCAAAAGCAGGTTTTCTAAATGTTATGGAAAATTTTCATTCATTACTTATCAGAACAACTTGTCTTTAATTGCTATGTCAAAGGACTATCCTGGACTCCCTCCCCCACATCCCACCCCTAGTTATAACCTAACTGAACAATGTTTTAGTGGCTCCCAAGTTTAGCAACTATGTTCTTACTCATTTTCTGCCTGCAGAATCTGACCATTTCTTGTTTTGTTCTTTTAACTTTTTGGCTTTTTGGTGGTGCCTTCAGCTGCAGCATTTTGTTGGTTGACTAGAGATAAGGGTCAAGGTTGCCAGGCATCAGTGGCTCACCTTAGCTACTCAGGAGGCTGAGATCTGAGGATCATGGTTCAAAGCCAGCTGGGGCAGGAAAAGTCCATGAGACTCTTATCTCCAATAAACCACTCAGAAAACCAGAAGTGGTGCTGTGGCTCAAGTGGTAGAGTGCTCACCTTGAGCTGAAGAGCTGAGGGACAGCACCCAGGCCCAGAGTTCAAGCCCCACAATTAACAAAAAAAAGAAAAAAAGAAGAAAAAAGAGTCAAGGACTTTTCTGCCCACCCTGGCTTCTAACTGTGATCTCCGGATCTCAGTTTCCTGAGTAGCTAGGATTACAGACGTGAGCCACTGGCACCCAGCTAGCTTTTTTATTTTTTAAATTTCTTTTTGGTGTTACTGGAGATTGAACTCAGGGCTTCATTCTTACAAGGCAGGTGTTCTACTACTTACACTACGTCTCTAGTTGTACCTCATACCTACTCATAACCTACTTTTAAGGGCTAGGAAAGTGGCTCAGTGGTCGAGGGCTTGCCTGACATGCATGAGGCCCTGGGTTTGATTCCTCAGCGCCACATATACAGAAAAAGCCGGAAGTGGTGATGTGCCTCAAGTGGTAGAGCCTTAGTCTTGAGCTGAAGAGCTGAGGGACAGTGCCCAGGCCCAGAGTTCAGGCCCCAAGACCTACCAAAAACAGAATATAAAATAACCTACTTTTAATTTTTTTGGTGCTGTTCTTGAGGTTGAACTCAGGGCCTGGGTGTTCCTGAGCTCTTTTGGCTCAAGGCTAGTGTTCTACCACTTGAACCATAGCCCTACTTCCAGCTTTTTGGGGGGTAACTAATTAAAGATAAGAGTCTTAGGGATTTTCCTGCCTTGCACCCACTGGGGCTTGAAGCGAGGACCTGTGCTCTGTCCCTGAGCCTCTCTGTACTCAAGGATAGCGCTCTACCACTTGAGCTACAGTGCCACTTCTGGATTTTTCTGTTCTGAGGAATTATTGAACCCAGGGCTTCATGCATGCTAGGCAAGCACTCTACCATTAAGCCACATTCTCAGCCCCTTCGCTGGCTTTGAACCAAAATTCTCAGATCTTTGTCTCCTGAGTTCCTAGGATTATAGACGTGAGACATTGGCAGCCAACAAAGCCATTGTTTTCAACAATGATTCATAAATTTAAATTATATGTAAAAGACCTAACAACTTTGTTCCCTCATTAACAATGGTAATATTGACTTTTTTTCCTTAATACTATGAATAGATGCTGAATCCAAAGTAACTTAGTCACATCTAGTACACATGGTCCCTGACTTAGGATGGTCCATTTAAAATTATCAGGTTTTTATTTTTTTTTTTTTTTCTGTCAGTTATGGGGCTTGAACTCTGGGCCTGGGTGCTGTCCCTGAGCTCTTCAGCTCAATGTTAGTGCTCTACCACTTTGACCCACAGTGCCACTTCTAGTTTCTGATGGCTAATTGGAAATAAGAGTCTCACGGACTTTCCTGCCCAGGCTGGCATTGCACGGTGATCCTCAGATCTCAGGCTCCTGAGTAGCTAGTTTTTGTTTTGCTTTTTGCTAATCACCAGGCTTGAACTCAGGGCCTGGGCGCTATCCCTGAACTTCTTTTGCTCAAAGCTAGTACTCTACCACTTGAGCCCCAGTGCCACTCTGGCCTTTTCTGTTTATGTGGTACTGAGGAATGGAACCCAGAGCTTCATGCATGCTAGGAGAGTACTCTAACACTAAGCCACATTCCAGCCATGTCAGGTTTTGTGATAGTACAAAAAGTAATATACATTCAGTAGGAACTGTATTTCAACTTGAATTTAAATGTGTGTGTGTGTGTGTGCGCGCGCGCGCGTGTGCGCGCATGTGTTGGAGACTTGAGTCCACAGTCTTCTACATGCTACCACTGGGCTAGCCTCCTAGTCCTGAATATTGATCCTTTTCTGGGCTATGTTTAGTGGGACCTTCTCCTACTGGGCAACAGAGCAAGCTACAACTCCCTGTGAACCACATGATTGCAAGAGAATCAACTGACATGCTACAGCGTACTGTGTTGCTAAGTTAGGAGTTTTGGTAGGTGAGGTGTATTCCATGTATTTACAATGGGAACGAACCCATTGCAAATCAAGGAACATCTCTATTTTGAAACAAGGGATCTCTAATTCACAGCTTAGGCAAATTCTGTACACTGTTGCCAGCTAGGATGCTACCAAAAGGCTTACACAACCGCAGACAAACACGTATTTTCAAAATACGTGGAGATAAGCATCCAGGGCCATTGCCTGCAGCTGTAGGGATAGGAGCCTTCCCTGGGTCTTCTGACTACCAGGTGAGCACCAGGCGACTCCCTGGCTGTGATACCCTTCATGTGTGACTGTCACATGCCGGACTGTGGTGTCATCATATTACTAGTCATCTCAGATAGCACAGTAAAGAAGAAACGTTATTTTCACTGTAGTACCGAGGGAGAAATGGAGACCTAGCAAAGCAAGAGATTGTCTCCCAAATTATGCAGCGAGTGACCAGCCATACTTCCCAACAACTTTCTTGCTATAAAGTTGGCTAGCTCATAGAGACCAATTCCTGGGAACAACGTCTCAGGGGAAGGCTGGAAGACCTGAAAAAGCATGTCTCTCTGAAGTCCATGCTTCTTTCCCCCACCCCTAACTACAACCCTTTTTTATTTATAGAATGAAGAACTGCCCAATTTGTTAAATAAAGCTGACCAAGACTTTTAAATGGGGGCTGGGAATGTGGCTTAGTGGTAGAGTGCTTGCCTAGCATGCAGGAAGCCCTGGGTTTGATTCCTCAGTACCACATAAAAAGAAAAAGTTGGAAGTGGTGCTGTGGCTCAAGTGGTAGAGTGCTAGCCTTAAGCAAAAGAAGCTCCGGGATAGTGCCCAGGCCCTGACTAGCAAGCCCCAAGACTAACAAAAATGAAAATAAAAATGACTTTTAAGTCATTTCCTTCCATAGATCATGACTTCAGAGGCTTTGAGAATGTTTACACCAATGCATGGCCACTCAGTTCAGAGGTGACCTTTGTTGGGGTTTGGAAACTTGCCCTGTAGATCTGAGGGGGGAGAAAAAGACTGTAGCTTTCCATGGTAAATTCCAGCATGTCAGACAGATTACACCCTGTCTGTGGCTTCTTCTCCTTCTAGGCAAGTTTTCACTAGGGTGATTAAAAATTAACTTGGAAAAAAAAATCTTTTATTTTTTTTGGTCTGGTCGTGGGGCCTGAACTCTGTGGGGGCTATCCCTCAGCTCTTCAGCTCAAGGCTAGCACTCTACCACTTGAGCCACAGCACCACTTCCGGCTTTTTTCTTTTTGCTTATGTGGTGCTGAGGAATGGAACCCAGAGCCTCATGCATGCCAGGCAAGCACTCTACCACTGAGCCACCTTCCCAGCCTTGACTTTTAAATTACTATTATAAGGTCCGCTCCTGGATGGAGAGCAGACTCCACCCTCCTCGCAGCAAAGTCTCCACCCAGTACCTGTGTTACCTAGGCAACTGACACACCTGGAAGAGGTCACACCTGCATCCACTGGGGTCACATCTGAATTTGATGTGGCCACACCTTTCTCCGCCCATACCCTAGATAAGGCCTAGCCCAGGCCCTGACGCTTTCTTTCCCGGCTCTCTTTCACAGGCCTTTCCCAACCTTCTGGAGGGCATGGCCTCGTGCCAGCCAGAATGATGAATAAACCTACCCTTTACCTGAATACCATGTGTGTGGTGTTGTTCTTACTTGGCTACCTCTTTTTTTTTTTTTTGGATCCGGTCGTGGGGCCTGAACTCTGGGCCTGGGTGCTGTCCCTCAGCTCTTCAGCTCAAGGCTAGCGCTCTACAGCTTGAGCCACAGCGCCACTTGTGGCTTTTTTCTTTTTGCTTATATGGTGCTGAGGAATCAAACTCAGGGCCTCAGGCATACAAGGCAAGTGCTCTACCACTGAGCCACCTTCCCAGCCCCCTGTTTTTTTTTTTTTTTGTTGTTGTTGTTTTTTGTTTTTTGTCAGTTGTGGTGTTTAAAGTCTGGGACAGAGCTCTTCAGCTCAAGGCTGGCACTCTACCACTTGAGCCACGGTGCCACTTCCTGTTTTATGGTGGTTAGTTGGAGATAAGAGTCTCACGGAGTTTCCTGCCGAGGCTGGCTTTTTTGTTGCTTAATTGTAGTCTCATAGACTTTCCTGCATGGCATGGCTTCAAACTGTGATCCTCAGACCTCAGCCTCCTGAGTAGCATGAGACACTCACGCCCAACATACAAAGGAGTTTTAACAAGGAGAATACATCTTGGGACAACAAACTGAAAAATTAGTAACAATAAAAATGAAAACCTGGGCTAGGAATGTGGCTTAGTGGTAGAGTGCTTGCCTAGTACACATGAAGCCCTGGGTTCCATTCCTCAGTACCACATAAACAGAAAAAGCCAGAAATGGCACTGTGGCTCAAGTGGTAGAGTACTAGCTTTGAGCAAAAGAAGCTCAGGGATAACCCGGGTGCCGGTGACTCACGCCTGTAATCCTAGCTACTCAGGAGGCTGAGATCTGAGGATCACGGTTCAAAGCCAGCCTGGGCAGGAAAGTCCATGGGACTCTCATCTCCAATAAACCACTAGAAAACTGGAAGTGGTACTGTGGATCAAGCGGTAGAGCCCTCACCTTGAGCTGAAGAGTGCAGGGACAGTGTCCAAGCCCCATGACCGACTTCCCCCCCCAAAAAAAAAGAAGAAGAAGAAGAAGTTCAGGGATAGTGCCCAGGTCCTGAGTTCAAGCCCAGGTCTGGCCAAAAGAAAAAAAAAGTGAAAAGCTAGCCAGGCATCAATGGCCCATGCCTGTAATCCTAGCTACTCAGGAGGCTGAGATCTGAGGATCATGGCTCCAAGCCAGCCCAGACAGGGAAGTCTGTGAGATTCTTATCTCCAATTAATTACAGAAAAAGCTGACAGTGCAGCTCTGGCTCAAGTGGTAGAGCAATAGCCTTAAGCAAAAAGAAGTTCAGGGACAGCACTCAGGCCCAGAGTTTGAGTCCTAGGACCAGGGGGAAAAAAAAAGTGAAAAGCTATCTATCTTACTACTTGATGTATAATCTAAGGACTTGCTTCTCTGTTAAAGGCTTATGATTTACAAGGAAAATATATCTGGGGTCTACCAAAAATAAAAAGCAGCCTATTAAAAATTTCATTAAAGAAACATACAAATACACTGTGAATTAAATTGCTTCTCATCCGAAAGTTCATTAGGGTCGAAACTTCATTTTAAAATTTACTGATTTTGCTGGGCACTGGTAGCTCATGCCTATAACCAGATTACTAGCTACTCATGAGGTTAATATTTGAGGATCATGGTTCAAAGCTAGCCTGGGAAGGAAAGTCTGTGGCTTAAATCTCCAGTTTACTCTGAAGAAGGCAGGAATGGAACTGTGGTTCAAATGGCAGAACACTAACGAGCACAAAAGTTCAGGGACAAGGCCTAGGACTGAGTTTAAGCTCCAGGGCTGGCACAGGAAAAAACATAAAGGATTTTTTAAGGATTTCAGGCTGTGAAAAACTGCTGTGGATGGAATGATGTTTGGAGAAGGGATGATATAGATATAGATACAGATATAGATAGTACAGGTTCTGGAGCTTGAATTCAGGGCATGGGTGCTGTCCTTTAGCCTTTTCTGGTCAAGGGTAGTAGTCTACCACTTGAGCTACATCTCTACTTCTGGCTTTTTGTTGGTTAATTAGAGATAAAGAGTTGCGCAGATTTTCCTGCCAGTGCTGGTTCAAAACGATGAGATCCTGAGATCTTAGCCTACTGAGTGGCTAGGTTTACAGACATGAGCTACCAGTGCCCAGCCTATTTCATTACATTTCTTTTTTCCCATTTATTATTATTATTATTATTGGGTCTGGTCGTGGGCCTGAACTCTGGGCCTGGGCGCTGTCCCTCAGCTCTTCAGCTCAAGGCTAGTGCTCTACCACTTGAGCCACAGCACCTTCCGGCTTTTTTCTTTTTGCTTATGTGGTGCTGAGGAATCGAACCGAGGGCCTCATGCATGCAAGGCAAGCGCTCTACCACTGAGCCACCTTCCCAGCCCCTACACACGCGCGCGCGCGCGCGCGCGCGCGCGCGCACACACACACACACACACACACTCTTTTGTTTGTTTTGTTTTTTTGGGTCCGGTCGTGGGGCCTGAACTCTGGGCCTGGGTGCTGTCCCTCAGCTCTTCAGCTCAAGGCTAGCGCTCTAACACTTGAGCCACAGCGCCACTTCCGGCTTCTTTTTGCTTATGTGGTGCTGAGGAATCGAACCCAGGACCTCATGCCTGCAAGGCAAGCGCTCTACTACTGAGCCACCTTCCCAGCCCTACACACACTTTCAAATTCTAAGAAAAATCATTCTGATCATGCGCCCCGAGGTGAAGGCAAGTGTGTGTGCGTGTGGTGTGTGTGTGTGTGTGCGCGCGTGTGCGTGCATTCTGCAAGCTACCAGCCCTCTCCGCTCAGTCGAGCCCAGGGTTCGGGCTGGAGGCTAATGAGGTGTAAGTACTAAAGATTTGAACAGTTGAGGGTGCAGCTCAACTGCACGTTTCATTATAGGTCTTCACTCCAATGAAGACTCCTATCTGCACCTCTGAATACGCCCAACGAGACGACCTCAAGTGTCAGTGCCCCACCAAAGGGTGGTAAGAGGCCGTGCTTATTGAGTATGGCACTTACGCAAACCACCTGGTTCAGCCAGGCGCACAGAACAGGCTTTGAGCCAAAGTGAGCGGGAATCTTGACGCTCCGGGATACCCCAGATTGCACAGGCATAGAACCTCCCTATTCCAAACCTGTCAAGAAGCTCGAATCAGCTTTCGGCCACAGCTCTTTAGATTTGAATTGGGACCTTCTATCCGCCTAGCGGGGGGGGCGGGGGGGTGGAAGTACGCACGGTTGCCCGGCTCTCGATTGGTCGTGCCTGGCGACGGCACCTCTCGACACTCGCCAGCTCGGCGCTCGAGGGGTCGAGCCTGGCCGGGATCCGGTCAGCCATAGCCACGGTGCCTCAGGGCGAGGGGCACAAGGTGGCCTCCGGCGGCCGGCGCGGGGATGTCGAGAAGCTCGAAAGCGGTACTGGGCCTCTCGGTGCTTCTGACAGCGGCCACGGTGGCCGGCGTGCATCTGAAGCAGCGGCAGGACCAGCAGGTCGGTGTCACGTGACCGCATGGGGGGGCGGGCTCGCGCGCGGCGGGGGCCTCAGGCCTGGGGCGGTGGGCTCCCGCGTGGCTCCCGCGTGGCTCCCGCGTGGCTCTCGGCGTCTCCTCGCGTCTTCCCCCCCCCCCCGCCCCCCGCCGCTGGCCTCGGCCTCGCCCTCGCCCTCGCGGCGGCGCCCCCGGCGGCCCTGCAGGAGCTCTGCTGACCCCGCGCCTGAGGCGCTGGGCCCCGGGTCCCGGGCGCTCCGACTCCGCGCGTGCTCAGTGGCGCGCACCGCCCTCGCCTGCTCCCGGGGGCCGCTTGGAAATCGAAGGCGGGAAGGGGTGTGTGTATGTGTGCATGTGCGTGTATGTGTGTATTCTGCAAGGTACGAAGTCGAAGGCGGGAAGTGTGTGTGCGTGTGTGTGTATTCTGCAAGGTACGAAGTCGAAGGCGGGAAGTGTGTGTGCGTGTGCGTGCATTCTGCAAGCTACCAGCCCTCTCCGCTCAGTCGGGCCCAGGGTTCGGGCTGGAGCCTAATGAGGTGTAAGTGCTAAAGATTTGAACAGTTGAGGTTGAGGGTGCAGTTGGGTGGCTTGCCTAGAATGCGCGAGGCCTTGGGTTCCATCTCCAGCCTGGCAAAATAATGTTGCCTACTTAGACGACCTCCCCCCGCCCCCCCCTCCCCCGCCTTTGGCCAAGGTAATCTAGTGAGATGTTTTGTGTGTGTGTGTGTGTGTTTTAGTTAGCATATTACTGTGGAAACTAGATTCTGGGAACGGTGAAGATGCCATCTTCCCCAATTTTCTTTTTAGTGCTTTGTTTCAGAAAACATCTGTCCTTTAACTAATGAGTGATTGACCGCCTACTCTGTCAGTAGTATTTTCTTATTCAAGTTGGCATGCCAGGCACTGCACTGGGAATATGGTACAAAGGTAAGAAATCTAGAGACTGTAAAAAAAAAACAAAACGGTTTGTAGCTGTGCTAAAGTATTGTAAGCAGGTCATCGTTGAACTTTCAGTACTTTGATAGGCATTTGGGTTGAGGCTAGTTGGCCAAGGGTAGAAATAAAGAACTAAGTGTATCAAAGTAAACAGTCTTAATTTGCCTGTCCAGAGCCTTTGACCGCGCTCTGTATTTGGTGTACATTAATGAAGGCAGATGAGGATTGTCTGTGCTGTTCACAATCTGAAAATGGGAGGAGTGGAAACATGTGACTGGCGCAGGTATCTGGAGGGGATCAATGATGACAAGGTAGAGAAGAGATAGAGATTTGAAATTAAAGTATGATTGCACTGGCTTAGCTTTTGGAATAGAGGCAGGAGATTTCCTGCTTGGAACTAACAGGAAATGGTGGTAATGGTAGAGAACACAGGATGTCATGTTAGTCCTGAGGTCAGTGAATCCAGTTATTTTCCGAAAGAATTGAATTAGGGATAGTTAAGAGATTTATCTTGTGCTTTAGCTGCACATACATATACATCACATGGCTCCTGGGAAGTTTTCACAACTAGGGCTGGGCCCCTTACTCCACAATAATTAAACTCTTGTGTATAGGGATTCTGTTTCTGTATGTTCCAAAAGTCATCCAGAAGACTTTAATACATAACCAGGGTTGAGAATTGCTTTTAGAGAAGGGAAAAAAATGGAAGAACAGAGAGACTTCTTTATGTTGAAGTTAGTGATGAGAAAAGATCAACTAAAGTAATCTGTTTATTTTACATCCAAACTTTCATTGGATACCCACTTTGTAGCAGGGAGAAAGAATAGGCTCAGAATGGCATGGTGGATGTGTTAGAATGGTCAAGGAAGCAAGAAATTAAAGAATGTCTATTGTTTCCTGTTTGCCACATACCAGGCAGGCACACTGTATCATCCTTAATCCTCACTGTAACCCAGTTTAGACCAAGTATTGTGGTTCATTTGATAAGTTTCCAAGTTTATGCTGGTGGAAGAACAATATGGTTTGCATTTGGTAGTAACTACCTCAGACTTTTTTTTTTGTTGTTGTTCAACTGTGGAGTCTGAACTCTGGGCCTGGGTGCTGTCCCTCAGCTCTTCAGCTCAAGGCTAATGCTCTACCACTTGAGCCTTAGCACCACCTCCAGCTTTTTCCAGCTTATGTGGTGCTGAGGAATCGAACCCAAGGCAAGCACTCTACCACTAAACCACCTTCCTAGCCCCTACCTCCAACTTTGACTCTTGGTAACCACCCAGGATAGTGGTATGTCATATGATTATTCTCTCTGGAGACAATGGGCAGTGGAGCAAGCTGCAGGTCCCAGTCAGCCAGTCTGATTTTGTGGCTGAATGGTAGGTACTCTTGTTGCTGAGTTTTAGTGTGTATTCAGTGCATTTTTTTTATTTTTTGGGTCCGGTCGTGGGGCCTGAACTCTGGGCCTGGGCGCTGTCCCTCAGCTCTTCAGCTCAAGGCTAGCTCTCTACCACTTGAGCCACAGCGCCACTTCCGGCTTTTTTCTTTTTTGCTTATGTGGTGCTGAGGAATCGAACCCAGGGCCTCATGCATGCAAGGTCAGCACTCTATCACTGAGCTACCTTCCCAGCCCCATCAGTGCATTTTTTTGACTGCATTTGCAACTTATAATGGGCTTATCAGGGCATAGTCCTCTTGTAAGAAGAGTATTTGACTAAGCCAAAGTTGCAGATGGGTGTTGGAATGGCATCCACCTAAGAGAGATCTTTGGTGGTTAGTAAGGTAGTATGTGGAAGTCACTGAAAGGATGTGTGAAGCAATCACCTGGAGAAAGATAGCAAATGATGGATGGAGAGACAGATGGAGATTGTGCACAGCTTGATATATCGGTAAAAGGAGGGGAGGCCTAGGGGACAGGTATGGAAGGAATGATCCCAGTTTATGATAATAGACTTGGTGATATGTATATGTAGGTGTGTCCTGGTATGAGGACAGAAAGACCTGGACGTCTTAGTGGTGATCTTGCCCAGGCCCTAAGGTTTGAGGAAGTTGAGTTTAGTTTCAAGTTGAGTTACTAGTTCAGGATTCACAGAAATTTCCAACTCCCCTATAGCATATGAAACTGTTGGCCTAGAGGAAATCTAGCAGATGTGGGGCGGGGGTGGGTGTGGGGCAGAGAAGGGAGTTGGGAGGGGAGGTATCATCTTTAAAAATAGATATAATAGGGGCTGGGAATGGGCTTAATGTTAATGCTTGCCTAGCATGCATGAAGCCCAGGGTTCCATTCCATATAAACAGAAAAGGCTGGAAGTGGCACTGTGGCTCAAGTGATAAGAATGCTAGCCTTGGGTAAAAGAAGTTCAGGGACAGTGCCCAGGCCCTGAGTTCAAACCCTAGGACTGGAAGAAACAAGCAAACTTATTAGAGTATTTTGTTGTTGTTGTTGGTGGTGGTGGTCATGGGGGCCTGGGCGCTCTCCCTCAGCTCTTCAGCCCAAGGGGAGCACTCTACCACTTGAGCCACAGTGCCACTTCTGGTTTTCTGGTTTTTAATTGGAGATTAGAGTCACATGGACTTTCCTGCCCATGCTGGCTTTGAACTGTGATCCTCAGATCTCAGCCTCCTGAGTAGCTAGGATTACAGGCGTGAGCCACTGGCACCTGGCTTGTTTCTGTTTTTTTTTTTTTTTTAAATGTATATGTACATATAAATTTTATTTATTTATTTATTTTTTGTACTGGGGATTGAGCCTAAGACGTTGCACTGGCTCAAGTGCTTTGCCACTGAGCTACATCCCAGCACTTTACTAGAGTATTTTGTGAGCTTTTTTATTTCCATTAGTGTGCCGGTCTTGAAGTTGAATGCTTGAGTTACAGTTCAACTTCCAGATTTTCTTTTTTTTTTGGTCCAGTCGTGGGCCTGAACTCTGGGCCTGGGCGCTATCCCTCAGCTCTTCAGCTCAAGGCTAGCGCTCTACCACTTGAGCCACAGTGCCACTTCCAGCTTTTTTTTTTCTGCTTATGTGGTGCTGAGGAATTGAACCCAGGGCCTCATGCATGCAAGGCAAGCGCTCTACCACTGAGCAACCTTCCCAGCCCCAACTTCCAGATTTTTATGTTTAATTAGAAATGAGAGTCTCATGGACTTTCCTGTTGGCAGGCTTCAAACTGTTATCCTCAGATTTCAGCGTCAGTAGATAGGATTACAGGTGTGAGCCACAGGCATCCAGCCCCATTAATTGTTTGAAGAATCAAATATTAAACTTTAAATTAAAAGTGCCAATTTTTATTTATTTACCATTAAGGGTGTGGTTTTTGTTTTTGTTTTGTGTGCATTGGGCAAATTTTAAAATGTGAAAAGAGCCCCTGCTAGTGACTTATACATGTAACTCTAGCTACTCAGGAGGCTGAGATCTGAGTATTGCAGTTCGAAGCCAGCCTAGGCAGGAAACTTTGTGAGACTCTATCTCCGATTAAACATTAGAAATCTGGAAATGGAGCTGTGACTCAAAGTATCACTAGCCTTGAGCAAAAAAACTCAGGGACAGTGCCCATGTCCTGAGTTCAAAGCCTTATGATCCATAAAAACTGAAAAAAATTAAAATAGAAATTGAGTATTTACAACCTGAATGTTTTTCTTTTCTGTCTTGTCTTTTTTCTTTTTTTCTGGTCATGGGGCTTAAACTGTGGGTTTGAGCATTGTCCCTGAGCTCTTCAGCTCAAGTCTAGTGCTCTGCCACTTTGAGCCACAGTGCCACTTCTGCTTTTCTGGTGGTTTATTGGATTATCTCTAAGTCCAAATCTCTTGGACTTTACTGCCCAGGCTGACCTGGAACGAACATGATCCTCAGATCTCAGCCTCCTGAGTAGCTAGGATTACAGGCGTGAGCCACCAGCGCCCGGCCAAGCTGAATGTTTTTAAGTGTGTATTTTGGTAACACTTTTTGGATTTGAAAGGCACAAGGATGAGTGCCTCTTGTTGAGAGTGTTACTAAAATCTTTTTCTTAACATTTTTAGAGGCTTCGTGATGGAGTAATCAGAGACATTGAGAGGCAAAATCGAAAAAAAGAAAATATTCGTCTTTTGGGAGAACAGATTATTTTGACTGAAGAACTTGAAGCAGAAAGAGAGAAGATGTTGGAAAAAGGATCTCAAAAAACATGACTTTAAATGAATGTGAAATACTGGGACATACAGTGCCGAGTTGTGTGTGTTGTATTATAGAGATATAGAGAATAGCTTAGTGTTTTTTCTTTTTTCTTTTGCCAGTTGTGAGGCCTGAACTCTGGGCCTGGGCGCTGTCCCTCAGCTCTTCAGCTCAAGGCTGGGGAATTGAAACCAGGACCTCATGCATGCAAGACAAGCACTCTACCACTGAGCCACCTTCCCAGCCCTAGCTTAGTGTTTTTTGTTTTTTTGTTTTTTTTTTTGTTTTTGGGTCCGGTTGTGGAGCCTGAACTCTGGGCCTGGGCGCTGTCCCTCAGCTCTTCAGCTCAAGGCTAGCGCTCTACCACTTGAGCCACAGCGCCACTTCCGGCTTTTTTCTTTTTGCTTATGTGGTGCTGGGGAATCGAACCCAGGGCCTCGGGCATGCAAGGCAATCGCTCTACCACTGAGCCACCTTCCCAGCCCGTTTTTTGTTTTTTTTTAACAGCTGTTTTTTTGGTTACTGTCCTTCTAAATTTTGATCAAATAAAAAGGGCAGTGTATCCTATATTCTAATTTTCTTCTTTAAGAACTTGTTATATCTGAATAAAGAATTCGGGGCAGATACTTTTCTGGACTTTCTGTCTGTAGGATTCTGGTACCAGCCAACTCAGTGTCTTGAGTTCAGGGTTATTACTAAAAAGCACTTCTGAACCTGTGAGAAGGAAAAGATGGATACCAATATCCACTTGAGCAGTCTGATAAGTCGACACGATGATGAAGCCACAAGAACATCCACCTCGGAAGGGCTGGAGGAGGGAGAAGTGGAAGGAGAGACTCTCCTGATCGTAGAATCGGAGGATCAGGCGTCAGTGGACTTATCTCATGACCAGAGTGGAGATTCCCTCAACAGTGATGAAGGAGATGTGTCATGGATGGAGGAGCAGCTGTCCTACTTCTGCGACAAGTGCCAAAAATGGATACCAGCTAGTAAGGAGCTTCTCAATTCCTTTATCAGTTCCTATTTGAAATTTTGTGTTGCCAGACTGTGGAAGAAACACGAATGTAAAGTAGACCTAAATAAAAGGATAATTATTATACTTATTATTTAAGCTGATCAAATACAAATTTATATAACATACAGACATATTTGTACTAATAAAAATTGTTAACTTCCATCCTATTGTTAAATTAACTTTTTTTTTTTTTTGCCTTATTGGAGTTTGAACTCGGATATATAGCTCCTTCCCTAAATTAATATATATATATATTTTTTTTTTTTTTTTAATTTTTTTTTTTTCTGTCAGTCATGGAGCTTAAACTCTGGGCCTGGGCACTGTTCCTCAGTTCTTTAGCTCAAGGCTAGTGCTCTACTACTTGAGCTACAGTGCCACTTCCGGTTTTGTGGTTTTTTTATTGGTGATAAGAGTCTCATGGACTTTCCTGCCTGGGCTGACTAGGAAATGTGATTCTTATCTCAGCCTCCTGAGTAGCTAGGATTACAGGTGTGAGCCACTGGTGCCTGGCTAAATTAATATTCTTGATGGTAACTCAATAAAAATTACAGAATTTGGCTGGGAATGTAGCTTAGTAGTAGAGTGCTAGCCTAACATGCCCTGGGTTCCAATCTTCAGTACCACATAAACAGAAAAAGCTGGAAGTGATGCTGTGGCTCAAGTGGTAGAGTGCTAACCTTGAGAAAAAGAAACTCAGGGACAGTGCCTAGGCCCTGAGTTCAAGTCCCAGGACTGGCAAAAAAAAAAAAATAGAAAATTTGAAATCCCATGTTGTTGAAAGTACTAATCACGTTTATCTAATAAGATTATATACAGGCACGGGTGGCTCATGCCTATAATCCTAGCTACTCTGGAGATTGAGATCTGAGGATCATGGTTCAAGGCCAGCCCAGGCAGGAAAGTAGTGAGACTTATCTCCAATCAACTACCAAATATCCAGAAGTAGAGTTCTGGCTGTAGTTGTAGAGTGCTAGCCTTGAGCAAAATTAGTTCAGGGACAGCACCCAGGCCCTGAGTTCAAACCCATGATACAACACACACACACACACACACACACACACACACACACACACACACACGTTAAGGGGTTGAGGACCAAATTCTAGTCATACTTGAAGTTCAAGTGTATAAAAATTACTGTTAGGTTTAATACATGGACAACTGCACACACACACACACACACACACACACACACAAAGGTGTAAAGGGGTTGAGGACCAAATTCTAGTCATACTTGAAGTTCAAGTGCATAAAAATTACTGTTAGGTTTAATACATTGACAACTGCTATAGTCAGATCAAAGGTTTTTGATGCTCTTTGGTAGTACATACGGTTTTATTTCTCACTTTTGGACTTCCTTTATCTGCTGGCAAGTCATATGTACACACCTTGAGGGTTTCAGCTAGCATACTAGTTTGAGTGCTTTGCCAGCTATCATACAATTTATACCAAAATAGAGACTAGAAAAAAAGCAAGTACTAGAAGAATGCTTTGTGTAAGAGTTTATAGCCAAGTGAAGTATATATGCACATATATTTGCATACATTTTTGTGAAGTGGGTCATTTTCTGGCATGTGGAAACATTTTTGTTAAAATGGATTCAACAGTTCAGATTAATGGATAATGTTACAACATTTTTATAGTAAACCAACCTAGAAGCTAGGTCTTCAAAACTGGCTTTTGCTTCCAAACTGTCTAAGTTTATTGACTCAGGGTTCTGTCCAAATATCTGTAGCTTTCCTGGTTCCCACAGGAATATTTTATGCCTTTTTATTGATCATTGGAATTGAACTCTGGGCCCTGGGCCATTGTCACTGAGCTCTTTTGCTCAAGGCTAATACTGTACCTCCTTGAGCCACAGCTCCATTTTCTGCTTTTGGGTTATTAATTGGAGATAAGAGTCTCAGGGTCTTTTCCTCCCAGTTCTCGGACTTCTAAGTAGCTAGGATTATAGCACATAGCTCAGAGTTTATTTAAAGTGCCCTTTGTAGGCAGGTTCCTGCTAATTTCAGCCTCTCTGTTCATGAATATAAGCAGAACTTTGTGGTTAGGAAGAAGTTTTTGTCTACAAACAATTCTGATCCACTTGGCACATTTTTGTTTCCTCTCTAGAATATGGACCTCCTGGTTTTTCAAGCCTCCCCTACCTTCACCTCTACACTTCTAGTTCTTCAGGCCCTCCAGTAAATCCCTCGAACTTTTCTGTCTCCCTAATATAAATTAGCACCCTCTTTAGGTGCCCCCTCACTGCCCCTGGGGTGCACATTACGTTACGCTCCTATGCTTTTCATGTTCAAAGAGCATCAACATCACCTGGGAACTTGGATGCACAGGCTTATATTCCACCTCAGATTGGTTCATTTCATCTGGGGTAGCTCTAGGCATCATTAGGGAAACAAAACAGTTCTCTGGGTTCTGATACACCATGAGAATGGAGAATCACTGTGCAGTTGTGACCTATGCAGCCCTTGTAGACTTGTAAACTGATGAGAATAGGCACCATGTCTGCCTTGGACATTGAATATCTAATTCCCAGTCCAGTGCTTGGCAGGCAGTAACTCAGAAAGAATGTATGAAGAGACCTGTGTGAAGGAGTCAGGAATGTAATAGTTGGAAATCCAGTTGGAGCAATCATACCTGCTTTTCCAGTACCTTTCTCCTCTAAAGTTAAGGAACTGTAGAGTCTGTGGGAGCATGAACTTTACTTTAGAAGAATGAAAATCTTTTTCTGTACTCAATACCTTACTCTCATCCTGCAGTTGTGGGTTGATTGAAAAAAGGGGGAAAAATGGAAATCTGGTTGATAAGATGATGAAAGAAAACTGTTTGCTGCTTTTAAGATAAGCCTGTGTTGTAACTTTTTTGTTTTCCTCCTAGGTCAGCTGAGGGAACAGCTCAGTTACCTTAAGGGTGATAACTTTTTTAGGTTTACTTGTTCAGATTGCTCAGCAGATGGCAAGGAGCAGTACGAGCGGCTGAAGCTAACATGGCAGCAAGTGAGTAAACAAATGCTCTTCTAAAATTCCTTGGGTTGGTCCTCTGAAAAATTTGGTGGATTGATTATCTGTAGTGAGGAACTTTTGGTCTTTTGAGTTAAGGGATGCTTTCCAGACATTTCTAGACAGATGTCTGGAAAGAGGAGTCTTAGTTAAAAAACAAAAACGACCACGTTATCTACGTGACTTAAGTTTGAGATTTTCTTTGTTTTTTAAAGTTTCATAAATCTTTTATCAGAAATCTTTTATGTACAAAGGGATTAATTATGTTTATATGTAACACAAACCTTTGATGTTTTAATTGAAAATCAGGTTCACTTTTTTTTTTTCCCTGAGGTTCATATGTTTTAGTTATGCTTTTAGTACAGTGGAGCCATAGGATGGCTGCAGCAGAAGTAGATTTGGAAATAGTGATGCTACATTACAAAATCCAGGACAATCCAGCTTTTCTTCATTCAAACTCAAACATTTTGAGTATTTTTTTGTTGATGATTTTTTTGTTTTTTTTGGCTAGTCATGGGACTTGAACTCGGGGCCTGGGCTTTGTCCCTGAGACTCTTTGTGCTCAAAGCTAGCACTCTGCTACTTGAGCAAAGTGCCACTTCAAGCTTTTTCTGAGTAGTTTGTTGGAGGAAAGAGTCTCATGAACTTTTCTGTCTGGGCTGGCTTCAAATCATGATCCTTAGATCTCAGCCTTCTGGGTGCTATCCCTCAGCTCTTCAGCTCAAGGCTAGTGCTCTACCACTTAAGCCAGAGCACCACTTTCAACTTTTTCTGCTTATGTGGTGCTGAGGAATCGAACTCCGGGCCTCATGCATGCAAGGCAAGCACTCTGCCACTGAGCTACCTTCCCAGCCCTGATGTATTCTTAATGTCAACTCTTAGCTGTCTCTAATACCAGTACTCTAAGGGAACTATGGCCTGAGCAATAATAGTTTTTATTCATAACTGGATTGTACATTTTTGTTTTCTTTTTATTCATGTATTTATATATAAGAAGGTGTCAAGGTACATGTGGTTTTTTTTTTAATTACTTTTTTGTTTTTTGTTTTTGGTGCAAGTCTTGGGACTTGAACTCAGGGCTTGGGCATTGTCCCTGAGTTTCTTTTGTTTAAGGCCAGCATTCTACCAATTGAGCCAAGGCTCTACTTCC